TGGCCAGTTACAAGGGCTAAAAGGCCAACTTTTCACCTATGTGGTTTCCTCCAGATCTATCTATGCTTTTTTCTGGAAATAATCACCTGTTCCATTAGCCAAACACCCTAGACAACCATAACTGGAAGGGTGAGGTTGTTAGGGGTTTTGTTGCTTTAAAAGAGATCCTTTTGCAGCATTTGCCACTGTAGAAACACATGTTATTTGATGATTCTTTCATACAAGAATCATTCTCTGCTCACAACAGAGAAAGCTTTAGTGAAAACAACATGCTAGTAAGTTTAGTCTTCCTTGCCTCCAGTGTAGTTTCATCTCTGCTCAAACACTATTAACACTTTTAATATCCATTCTTGCAGAGTACTGTATGTGTTTACAATCAAATATCTGTATTGTATCTGATTCCAATCAGACACAATATACACCAATAAAACATCTGCCAGCTAACTGCTGTTATGTATCACACTAATGGAGCAGGCTTGTGTTTTTCAATTGTCTTTAAAAATACTTTTGCAGAGAAAATTCAGTTATTTACTTTCTCCAAGCTCCTATGCTTCAAGGACCCCTCAAGGCAATAAAACAGTTTGTTCAAAGAGAAAAAAACTAGAGAAGAGCGGCTACATTACCTGCTATTGATTTGGTTCTAAGTAACTTGTCATGTTAGTTACAAACATTTTCTTGAAGCAAAACAAAACAGTGCAAGTAATTTTCTCTGCTATGTTAGATGTCAATAAAGTGCATTTAACAGCATCCGCAGCAAAAAGTTCATCTTCCATCTAAATTCTTCTCTTACCAGGTGGCTCAGACTGTGCTCCCCGATGGCTGTCCATGTTCACATTCTCCTCATCTGCTGGGAAACAAATATGTTTAGCCTTCCAATTCTCCTATCTTCAAAGTTACTGATGAACAGAGAATTTGAGAGAAGAAACAGCACTGAAGAAATCAGGCTACTGATTGTAGTTGAGTGTTGTGTTGCCTGCATGTTAATTTTAACTTGCATGAAGTATGTCACTCAGTTTCCAGACTTCCCAAAATACAAAACAACAGTGCCTGGCTGGATTACTGTTCCCTTCATCTCCCTTCACCAACCAGTAAGAAAGACTAGAAAGAACAAAAACAAGACCTCTGCCCCACTTTTCACCCTTAGTACACCCCAAGTTCTCTGAATCAAGATGTATCTTATTTAGGTGGAAAGGAAGTGGAGAGCAAGCAAGAGATGGCTGCAGAAGAAAGAATAATTTGGGGATGAACATCTGAGTGGTTGTCAGAAACATATTATGTAGGCAAGCATCTTTTGAAGACACAACGGCAAGATTTAGAGTTAGAAACGACAAAGTGTTTTCCAGCATGAAAATATTGTCTAATCCCCAACCTCCACTCAGTTTTCCTTGCAGAAATGTTTTCTTGCAGTCTTTCTTGCTCACTCTTTAGCAGGAAGTGCTTTTATTTTGAGAAGTGCCAAGTCTTAGGTCTGTCTGCTTCTGAAGGTCTAGATTTTGAGCTAGGCACTCTTCAGACACACTGAGCTGACTAGTAAAGAGAGGTTACTCCCTGTGAACACAAATTCACTCTGCTATTAGAACTGCCTTATGCATAAAGTCTATTTCTAGCTCCCATATAAATACAAAAATGAGTGTCTTTAGACAGTAGAAAATAAAACAAATTTGTAATTCTTACCGCTTTGTTTGAAACAGAGTTTCTTCTTCTGGTAAGCAATGAAACTAGATACTGCTCCAATTACAGTAGCAGCGACAGCACTTACAATTCCAGCTATTGCTCCCTGAGAAGCTGAAAAGAAAAAATAAAAAAATTGTAGACATTTTTCAGAATCAAAAGCAATGTCAAACTTCTGTTGTCTCAAAGGGAAACCCTGTGAACACTTCTAAAAAACAACAAACTGGAATTAGTACATGAAACTTTAGTATTGAAGCCTTTCTGCCTTTGTGAATAATGAAAAGTGAATCCGCTAATTTTATAGTAATTGCTTTCTTAACAACACCTATTGTTAAACAACTTAAACATAAACTTAAATAAAAAAGCTACCCTTGCAAAGCTAAATCTCTCTGTTGTAAGTTTCACTAATAAAAAAGCTACCCTTGCAAAGCTAAATCTAAGTTACATACATGCAGTCACTGCACCAGCATCTCTGAGACTCTAACACTATTGAATCATTTGCAATACAGAGATTTTAAAGAATTATGAAAGCAGCACTTGAAAGTAAGAATTCTAGATTCCACAGAAGTTTTTAAGCTCAATCCACTACCAGCACTGACCATTCCAGCAGAACATTAGCAATACAGCAAAACCCAGAAAACAAGCTTTGGCCATGCAGACACCAAATTTATGTACTTACAGTCAGTGACCTCAACATTATCTGGACTTGAGCCCTTTCGTTCTGTAAAAGCAAACAAAAGTTTAATATTTTACCTGTCTAAAGAACAGTCATGGCATAATTGACAAACTGTTGGTCAAGTAATCATGCAAACTTACAAGCCATCTATTATATTCACATAGTGCTAAGCTCTCTGGCACTCAAACTTTCTATTTTCAAAGCACAGCTCATGGAGATGCCAACTTCAGCCTTGGGTGCTCAGCATTTTTACAAAAGGAGTGCAGCACATCTGTGAAACCTGGCTTAATCAACTTGCCACCACAGAATACCCAAGGGAGAGGAAAAGCATGGAATTTCAGGGTAGCATTCAACTGTACTTCTATGAAACCAACTGTCTTTTAGTAAAATCCCAGCCTCATTTACTAAATATTTTCACAATTCTCTAAGCAAACAGGATGGAAGTTCTGTAAATACTGTCCTTATTTGGTACTATGTAACTTGCATCACTGAAGCAGGAACCTGTGCAGATGAAAACATCACACACATCTCAACAGATGCTTCTTGACCCTGCTAATTTTCAAGTTACTGCCCCAAGGGAATCCTGGAAGGTGAAAGCTTCCCAAAAATTTAGCATCAGTAATCTCTGTCTGGAACAACTCTCTGAAGAAGCCAGTAACCAGCTGCATATCTCAACATCACAACAAGATACTTAACCTAACTCTGACCTGGAAACAGCGAAATTGCAGTAATGCACGCAGGGACAACCTACCCCATCCTAAAGATGACCATTACTGCACCTTAGTCCCACTGACCACCTCTGTACTGAGCTGCACCATAACAATTAGACATGGCAGAGTACTAAAAACAGATTTGTTTCTTATACTGCTCAGAGTGGATACAACCTACACCACTTGGAAGTCTAAGGATCAATTCATCCTATGCTACTCATGAAATCTTTGAGAACTCAAGGTGAGCTCTCTTCTAGCACACCCCTGGCCTTCCTAACAACAAAAACTAAGAGAAACTGACAGTATTTCACAGAAGATCTGAAAATAACACCTGGGTGCCTTTAAGAACTATACTAGTAGTGAATTTTGAAAACTTAAGTACCACATCAGCATCTCAGTTTTAAACCTCATCCTTCTTAGCATAAAGTTAAAATCTTTGAAGTTTCCTAGACCAGTTTTACTTCTTAGTTATCAGAAGTTTTTGGCAGAGACAGAACACCTTGCTTTTGAACTGGTAGATATGATCTTCGGTTTCAGATACGAGAATCAAAGGTGTTACAAGTTGGACCATGTTAACCAGCTTGTGAGCAAGCTTTTACCAAAAGCTCAGGTAACCCATAAGATCAATATGAAGCACAACCTACTCTCTTACCATTGCTGCCACTACCATCAGCACCTCCTTTTCGTGAACTGCCATCGTATAGATCTGAATCATCCAAGTTGCCTATAAAAAAAAATATATTAAACTGAGTATTGTCTTACATGTCCTAAGTTCAGTGAAAAAAACAACTCAAGGCTCCTAACGACATGGAATTCTTTTCTAGATGGTTCAGCTGAGTTAGTGGTGGCTTTAGGCTCAGTGTCACAGTCAAAATATGTTCATGTTTTCCAAGCCTCCCCTACCTCAAGTCCCTTCAGCTCAGCACCACACAGATCACAGTACTGCTACCTCTAGACTTCCTGAACAATTAAGAGAAGCCAGTGTTCAAGGGCAGATAGTACTGCACAAGTTACAGGCTAAGGAAGCAAGAACCCATGTAAGCTACTTAAGTGCAACAGCCCAACTCTCATTATCCTCTTAAAGCAGAGAAAGGACTTGGGCAGGAAAAGCCTGTTTCTTTTCAAGGCTGAAGCTGCAAATATTTAAGAAATGGGTTTCTAAGTCACAACCAATCTTTTGAACCTGTACAACACAGTAGCTGGAGGGGGAGAGTTCAACATACCACAGTATAATGGCTGCAGTATTTGCCTGACAGTGGGAAGATGCAAATGGAATTTCCTTCTCTGATTTACTGCAGGATATTGAACCAGTCCCTCTCCATTTCCACTGGACCCTACCTCACGGGGCCAGAGTTCTCTTCCTTCCCTCTGCTGCCAAACAAGTCTTCAGGTTACGCAAAGCCAATCTGTTTCAAGCAGCAAAACTAAAAGCACTGCATCAGACGATGTTTTAGTTGGGTGGCAAAAGCACTGTACTGAGGAATGCAAGGCCTGAATTTAAATATTTGCTGCAAATCAGGCAGGACAAGGAACAAGAACCAGAACTTGCGTTTCAGGTAAGGACTCTACCACCCTATTTCTTGATAATAACATCATCACAGCTGCAACCATCTGAAACTGTTTTGTTCTGAGTTAAGACAGAGAGAGAAGACCTCTAAAGCCCAACAGGCAGGAAAGAACATGTATTTTAAGCCTAACTTTCAAATACAAAATAATTGTATTTCTTAACTGGGGCCTTTAAAAGAAAAACAAAAAAAACCCCAACCAAACAAAACACAACATAGCCCTTTAACTTTGATCTTTACCTTTAGATGCTTTAAGAATACAGTTCACAGGCAGTTCCTACTGATTCTTAGCAGGACTAGCAGGGATTCAGTTTGTAAAGATGAGAGGACTCAATCCAGTACAGAGGTGCTCCATCAGAGCAGCCAAGAACAGCATTGTCCCAAGCACATCCACTGTCCCATCCACCCTCCTCCCCAAACAATCATGCTTTTAAGTGAAAGTAAAGTGGCCCAACAGGTTTTTTTTAATGGAATTTCAAGACTGCTGCAAAGTTTACTTGCAATATTTTTTTCTCAATCCTCAGTGTTTATTCAGTACAACATCTGACATACACAGCAGCCTATTAACCAGGTGTAATTATTCTAAGTTTAACTGAGACAGTAAAACCATGTAATGATTCAGGACTTCATATTAAAAGACTTACCAGTGTCTTTAACGGGCAAATCTGGCTTGGGTTTATCTATACACAAAAGAGAGATAAAGGAAAAAAAAAAAAAGTTGAAGAAATCAAAAGCAGACTAAAATTCAGTAACTTTTAATGGGATTCGGAAAGATTAACAAATACTTCTTTTACTGTTCAGAACTTCCTGTTAGATCAGTCTTACCAGCGTCTTTGGGTTTTGTGGGTGCACCTGGCTTAGGGTCATCTGTAGACAAATAAGAATAAAGTGGCTAAAGTTACTAGTGTGAAGAGACCAAAAGCAGAGCATACAGTGACCATGAAATACCATCTTCCACATGTCACTTTCCTTTCTGTAGCTACTACTGTATTTGTTTGGTTATTTTAGATTAAACAGTATTTCAATACAATTAACAGACTTTCTGCTACATTACCCTGTATGTCAGACCCTTGCTATAACAGAACAACTGTGTTATGCAGCATTTTATTTTGCTCATCTGATTTCAAACACTGAACTTCTTTAAATTTTTCTAGCAGATACAGAATACTTGGCTGTTTCCTCTTCTAAAACTACCAGCTTTTAACCAATCATCAGGGTTGGTACCTCACTTAAAAGAACACAAAACAAAACAGCAAAAAACCCCAAGATACACACAATAGAACTAGAAATATGATCCTATGATAAAACTTCATTTAGCTTGCCACAAAACATGAGAACAAGAGATCTTAGTAATTATCTCTGTACTTTTTGGTCACAGTCTTTTGCTACACGTATCAAATTAACACACCAGCAGTGGTTTTCTAAAACTGTGGTTTCACCAACAACTGAACCAATCCAGCAGCCTATTTCTTCTGTATCCTGCTTCTCCTTGATATTGCATGGTCTGGCCTCCTCTCTGCTCTTGAACACAAGTCAGTTCAGCTTTCCTTAGGCTCTCTGCATATTCCAAGCAAAGAAGCAAGCCTCTTCAGAGCACAGTTCTAAGCCCCCTGCCATTCTGTAAAGGATCCTCCCTCTTCACTTAGGTGAACTAGCTGACTAATTCAGCCAGCTGAATTCAATTAGCCAACTCTGATTTCAGAAATGGCAGCAGTTGGAAACAGACTGTGTTAGGAGAGACCAAGCTTTCTATGATGAACAGCATTATGACTCTACAAAAGCTTTATAGGGCTAAATCAAACAGAACAGCAAACACTGCTGCTGTCCTACAACTGTACTACTTTCTGCATCAGGAAAGCCATCTATACTGCAACATGTCTAGTGATGGTACTCCAACAGCAACTGTGCACTATCTGCCTAACTGGATGCACCTCTTACTGGCTGAGAGAAAACAAGACTGCAATTTTTACTGCTGCCCATGCTGGAGAGCTGAAGCACATTAGCAAGAGTACCTTGCCTCATATTATTTCAAAAAGATTAATGGTGCCTTGTACTACTAAAATGAACTTCTGGAATGAAAGAGTACTTCGGATTGAAAAACTACTTCTGTAAGTAATAGTTCATAGAATTAGTGCCACCTAGTGAAGAGACAGCAATGAAACAAGTAGGACTTTGCTAAGAAAGGAGTGAAATGCAAACAGGTTTTGTGATCCAGATCCTTCAAAATTAAGGTAAATAAACATAACTAGAATGAAATTATTTTTATCTGCAGTCTATTACTTTAATCAATTCAGTGCCCTTATTACATTTGGGTATTAAAGGATGGATAGACATTGCACCGAGTACCACTGAGCTTTATCCAGGTAAATATACTTACCAGGATGAAGAGCATGTTCTAAGTTGAACTCATCTACAAAGCAAGAAGGGAAGTTTTAAATGTAATGCAAAAATGGAACTAGTTTTATACTGTTTTTTACACAAAATGCATCTTACAATGTTACAATCAAAAATATAATGGCATGCTGATTTGACACTGGCCCACAGAAGAGAACCACAGTTACCAGACATTATCTTCCATGCTGCTTTTGGCAAACATGGGACATGCCAAGGGCCAGCTGAAGGTGAGCAAGCTCAAAACACACAGATTGAAAGCCAAAAGAAGGGATTCTGACAGGCTTGTGAAATCACAAAGTAGATTTGTCAAAACATTAGCAGAAGACTCCAAAATGCATAAATCCTTTTGCTATTTGGGAGCTGCTTTCTTTTACAGGAATATCACAACTCTGTGTGCTATTAAATTGAAAATATCAGGCTCTCAAATAAGTATGTGCAATTACACTGGACTTCACAGTAAAGGGCATTACAAGCCAATTAAACCTCACCGTCATCTGATGGTGGTGGCTTCTTAGATGGAAGAGGCTTCTTTGTAGTTTCTGTCAGGAATGGTTAAAAAAAAGAAAGAAAAAAGTTTAAATAATATTTAATACTATTTAATATGCCATTCAGAAGATACACAACAGACAAATGGAAGCCTATGTCTATACAATGAAAAGCACAAGATCAAGTTTATACAGCAAGACATTTTCCCCTTAAGAGGAATCCCTGAGTGCGCCCAAAGTCAAATTTCAGTTCTATGAGGTCAACATCTTGACATACCCACAGTTGAGGTTTAAACAAACCATATGTGGGGAAGATGTCATGGTTGGTCATGCAGTGATACTCAGGAACAAACAAGTCAAAAGAGCAGCAATTATTCCCCCTCCCCACCCCACCTACCTTCCAATGCATCTTCTAAGCTGAAGTCACCAAAATCACCTGTATAAGATTAAAGCAACAGTAAGAACACTGCTTTTTCTTACATAAAACCCAACACTTATCACAGTCATAAACATGTCTTGGATCTATCTTGAGGTATGTTTTCTGCTTCCTGTGTCAGACTAGAAGAATACTTTGAGTCAGTGTTGAAGACAGAAACTCTTTTCTGTTTCTTCAGACCACCATCCACACACACCATCAGAAAAAAAATTAATATAGAAAGGATCCACAGGGTGGGTACATATATTCCTACATTCAATATAATGCACTTAATCCTTTATTCTTGACACTGCTATTGCATACTTTCTCAGTGCCATCCACAGCATGTTCCTTCCCAGCTTTCTTTCCACTGAACCACAAAATGAGCAGGAGCACAGGTCCACTTCACAAGAATTTACAAGATTCAGATTGAAGAAGAACCTTGGAGCACAAAGGCTGGTGTGAAAGTTTTATGATTAGTTAATGGATTTAATACCTTGGCATTTTAAGTTAATTTTCATGGCTTTATAGGACTTCACTTTTCCCCTAACAAATGTCAACAGTATCATGGTGGTTATTAGCAAAGATGACCTTGAGCAGTCTCTTCAACTTCCTAAAAGACAGCTAAATGCAGCTGTCACTACTGTGGGTTGTCTACTCCAGGTAGATTAAAATTTCATTTTCAGAAAAAGAACATTCTCTCTTGCAGTACAGTTGCTAGAGCTACTGCTGCTTACCCAGACAACTGCAAAAACACTAACTCAATATATTCATGACACAAACTGGTTTCACAGCATGAATATAGTAGCATGATCTCAACAGCAGAGGCTTGTAGAATAAATGAACAGCTATAACAACCGCTTGGAATATTTCTTATAGCTGATTACTCCTACTTTCACTGAAGCATGGAAAAAGAAAGAGGCATGGAAGTACACATGAGCTATTCAAGAAAAAGACATTCACATATTCCCCTATAGCCCCAAAGAGGCTGGAAGACTTTTTCTACATACTGAGTATCAGTCCAGCCAGAGCAGAACTTAACTCCAGCCAGAGCTACCTCAATTCAGAAGATACATGCATAAAGCACTGATGTGTCTGGCTTTTCCTCTAAGCATGTAGCTACAGAAGATGGATCGGAGCTGGCTACTACAAAGTCTGAAAAGAGGAATAAAGAACAAACATCAAAAATCAAACTAACAAGCAGAATGTTCCTTCTGCTTACATGCATTAATAATGCCTTTTTTTTTTTTTGGAGAAGGGACTAAGATAAAATTTTACTTTTTTTAATCTGGAAGCAAGAAATGACAACTGGAATTAAAGCTCATGATTTCCAAAAAACAACCTTCAAGTTAGCCTTCACTCTGGCCAACTGAACTGCTACATAAGAAAACTAAATCTGAAGTCCAAGCACAGCAATTCCCATGCTGTAACATTTCAACTGAGTACCACCTCGTTCACAGCCAAGTATAGAGGTAGCACTGCCTGGTCCATGACAGGCCCCTTCAAGGAAACAGAGGCAATTCATGGCTTTATTGAGGTGCTCAAGAAAAGTACATTTTGAATCTCCTGGATCAAGTTGTTAGATATAGATCTTAGAAAGCAAGAAGGTATTTTACTTGGTGTTCTTCACTTCAGGTGGAGATCATAAACTCTTTTAGATGCTTAGCTCATGAAAAACTGTTTCACAGAATGCAAAAAAATTTGCAGGTTGTTTATCTGAAACCTACATCATCTTGTGATACAAAAACCTCAGTAAAATGAGTAATTGCTCAGACCAAATCTCAGTTACCTCTGAAGTTACCCCTTTGTTTAAAATGCAACAAGAAACCACCATATTAACAGGCAAGAAAGGTAAAAAAACCTGAAGAGTTAATTTAAACAGGTATGTGCATAGTTCTTCCTCAAACTTGAGTTGTGGTTTGTTTCTTTTGTCAAGCACATACATCTCTGGTTAGAGTCCTCCACAGAAGAATGATTAAGACAGGACCTGCTTAAATACTGGCAACTCTAAGTCTAAGAAGGTAGGCAGAACGATCTGCTTAAGATGCATGATACTCAAAACACTATCAGAGAAGCAACCAGAAGATGGACCACCACCATCTGTTAATACCATCTGACTTCAGGCTACAGAACTATCACTAAGGTAATCAATGTTCAGTTGTCTTTCAAGAGCACTTTTTCTTTTCAGAAAGAGTGACAGAAGGAACAACAAGCTCATATACTCAACGTTATGCTTTGGTGCAGCTGAAGTTTTACCTGGAGCAGAAAACAGGCTATTTGAACAGTTTCAAGCTGCCACCATGCAACTTAATCCAAGAACTCTCAATGGTTCCACCTGCAGTGCTTTCCCCTCAAGAGAAGGAAACCAGTGTAAAAGAGTGTGTATTCAGTAACACTACTGTTTTGAGGGATTGTTTTCACACATGATCTGCATGGAGAAATAATTTAGTATAAGACTGCTGACTGCCAATCTCACATAATACATGCTTGGAGAGAGCAACAAACAATGCTGAGTTAATGAAAGAAAAAAAAAATACATCATTCTGTATTGACTGGAGTTATTCAGTACTCTGCAATGACAATTCTGTTTTCCAAGCACGCAACAAGGTGTTGGGTGATTCAAACACATGGCTTTATTTCAATAATGGTAGCAGAAAATGTCAAAACCTTGCTTATGAAACTCACTATAATATGCACTCTGAAGTCCTGTTCAACATCTGCATCAGTGACCTGGATGAAGGGACAGAGTGTATCCTCAGCAAGTTTCCTGATGACACAAAGCTGGGAGGATTGGCTGATTCACCTGAAGGCTGTGCAGCCATTCAGTGACATTTGGGCAGGCTGGAGAACTGGGCAAAGAGGAACCTAATGAGGTTCAACAAGAATGAGTGTAGAGTCCTGCACCTGAGGAGGAGTAACACCATGCACCAGTACAAATTAGAAGCTGATCAGCTAGAAAGCAGCCCTGTGCAGAAGGACCTTGGAGTCCTGCTGGACAAGTTATCCATGGGGCAGCAATGTGACCTTGTGGCCAAGAAGGCCAATGGTATCCTGGGGTGCATTATGAAGAGTGTCTGACAGATCAAGGGAGGTTCTCCTCCCCCTCTACTCTGTCCACATTAGACCACATTTGGAGTATTGTGTCCAGTTCTGGGCCCCCCAGTTCAAGGGAGACAGAGATTTACTTGAGAGAATCCAATGGAGAGCTACAAGGATGATTAAAGGACTGGTACGCTATCCTTATGAGGAAGGACTGAGAGACCTGGGACTGCTTGCCTTATGAGGAAGGACTGAGAGACCTGGGACTGTTTAGTCTAAAGAAAACTGAGAGGGGATCTTACTAATATCTAGAGATATCTGAAGGGTGGGTGTCAAGAAGGAAGGGCCAATCTATTTTCAGTTATGTCCTGTGATATGATGAGGAAAAATGGATGCAAAATAGAACACAGGAAATTTGTCCTGGTTTGAGCCAGAGGGTGAAGCAGATTTTCTCTTTGCTGATTATTTTTTTCTTTCAGTGAACTTTTTTTAGCAGCACCAGTGGCCTGGTAACAACCCAGAACACTTCTGAAACTCATGTCTGCGGTTTCCCCGTCCCATGGGGGAGCAGACTAGACTGAAGGCAGGATCAGCAAATCAGAATATGTCCTTCTCATAATATTTTCTCTATTTGGCTTTTGGTATAGGTTAAGACATCATGGAAGTCAAGCCTTTGGTTTCCTTTTTCTCCCTCTTTTTCCGCTTACTGTCACTCTATCACCCTGTTTTTTGGCTCTATTTTTTTTTGCTTTTCCATTTTTCCTCACAGCCAACATCCAAGGACACAGCCCATGTGCCCAGACACTCCCCCCTTCAGCCAGGAAGGAGAGGATTAGGTACTGCACATCCCTTTATAAATATATAGATATATTCCCTTATCACTAATAATTCAAATCGATTTGCCTTGGGGGAGGGGGATTGCGAGCATTATTGTTATTGGTTTGACTGCCAACCCAGAGCCAAACTGTGACAAAGTTCCACCTCAAGATGAGGACAAACTTCTTTACTGTAAGGGTTGCAGTGCACTGGAACAGGCTGCCCAGAGAGGTTGTGGAGTCTCCTTCTCTGGAGACTTTCAAGACCCATCTCAGATGCAGTTCTGTGTGACCTGCCCTAGATTCTGGGATGGTCCTGCTCTGGCAGGTAGGTTGGACTCGTTGGTCCTGCATCTCGGTCAGGGCAATCCCAAGCACCGATACAGGCTTGAGAGCAGCCCTAAAGAAAAGGATTTTGGTTACTCATGGACGAGAGGCTCAACATGAGCCGTCAGCGTGCACCTGCAGCCCAGAAAGCCAATTGTATCCTCTGCTGCATCAAGAGAAGTGTGGCCAGCAGGTCAAGGGAGGTAATTCTCCCCCTCTACTCCACTCTTGTGAGACCCCATCTGGAGTGCTGCATCCAGTTCTGGAGACCCTATTACAAGAAAGACATGGAAATGTTGGAACTTGTCCAGAGAAGGGCCACAAAGATTATCAGAGAGGGCTGGAGCGCCTCTCCTATGAAGATAGACAGAGAGAGCTGGAGTGATTCAGTCTGGAGAAGGCTCTCAGGAGACCTTATCGTGGTCTTCCAGTATCTTAAGGGGCCTACAAGAAAGCTGGTGAGAGACTTTTTAGGATGTCAGGTACTGATAGGACTAGGGGGAATGCATCAAAACTAGAGGTGGGTAGATTCAAATGAGATGTTATGAAGAAGTTCTTCACCATGAGGGTGGTGAGACATGAACAGGTTGCCCAGAGAGGTGGTGGAAGCCCCATCCCTGGAAGTTTTCAAGGCCAGGCTGGATGGGGGTCTAAGCAACCTGATCTAGTGGGAGGTGTCCCTGCCTATAGCAGCAGATTTGGAACTAGATGATCTTTAAGGTCCCTTCCAACCCTAACAATTCTATGATTCTATGATCTCCAGAGGTCCCTTCCAACCCCTAACAATTAAAAAAATAATAATTAAAAAAAAATAGTGCTGGCAATTTCCTTTCCTAAAGAGTGGTTGTTTCTCCACTGTTTGTGACAAGCCTTCATGTGTCTTTAAAGCACTTGCTTTCACAACTTCTGCTTTTTCAGATCTTAGTCTGGGTGGGTCCAACTAAACTAGAAGCTCAATTGCTTAGCCTGAAAGTAGATGCTCAGAACAAAGGATTCAGCTGGTTCCAGGGAAGAAACAATCAGAAAACAGAGATAAAGCTACAGAACTAGAATAAAGGCAGTTGAAGGATCCAAGAAGAACAAGTCAGCAAGAATATACTGCAATCCCTACAGATTTAAGGAGCAGCCAGAGTAACCAAACTCATGAGCATTTTTTTAACCTAAGGAAATATATTTGCAAATAAAGCAGGTATTATATTGTGTATAAAGTACAATATAGAATGTATTTCTAGCTCCTATGCATGCAAACAGATTGAAGAATGTTTCAGAAGTGTCTATACTGTATTCCTTCCATGTCCATAGCTCAAATACCAGGATCTCAAGAGACAGCTCTTCAACAGGTTGTCCACAGTAACCAGTTTGTGTCAGAGAGGGAAAAACAGCAGGTAAAACAAAAGAGCAATAAGCTTTTGAAAAGCTGATGAGCTAGAGGGTATTCAAGAGAGCCAAGTAACTATGTAAATAGGAGTCCCCTGCAAAGATTCATCACTGCCCTCACATACTACTTACTGCTATGGTATTAGATTAGTCATATTTACATTCCACTGCAGAAGCCGACGCAAGCTTTGGAAACTTCCTTCCTTAGTCACGTGTGTGGTGACACACCAAGAACGGAGACTTGCGATGACTCACCACAAACATAACTTTCTGACTTGAGCAACCGACTGCCTGAATTCTGTTTTTCTACATATGTTGGTGCCCTCCTCCTTCCTGCTCTCTCTCTCGCCAGTGCCCTGTGCACCAGCGGGTTCCACAGAGCCTGCATGCTGCAGCTGCTCTTCCAGCTGGAGGCCTATGGACCACGTAAGAGTGGTCCCTGTCCCACAGCTGAATGTTACCTGCTGCTCTGTCAGTGGTCGACTAACTTACAATCAGAGTATCTTCGAGTTGGAAGGGACCCATAGGGTTCATCATATCCAACACCCTCCTCCTCACAGGACTACCTAAAACTAAACCTTACGACTAAGAACATCGTCCAGACACTCCTTGAACTCTGACAGCCTTGGTGCCATAACCACTCCCAAGTCTCCTCCCGCAGGGCTGCTTTCCAGCCTCCAGGCCCTCATTTACGCATATAGTCAGGATTATCCCATCCCAGGTGCAGGATCCTGCACTTGCTCTTTCTTCATTTCCTTCAGGTGGTGATTGACCAACTCTGGTCTGTCCTGCAGCCCTAGCCCCTCATTTTTGTGAAATCTGCAAATATCTTGAGCTCAAGGAGACCTCTCATCTCCGTAGAGTTTATATGACGTTTAGCAGCCCTCTTGGGGGATGAGAATGCTGGTAGACACATGGACATTAACTCTTGCGCAACCAGGCAAAAAGCAGCTTCTCCAATTTCCAGCAGATAAAACTACTGGATTTTATACTCCCATATCTTGTACTTCTTCTCTTTGATGGACTAAAAACAGGAGAAGCAGCAGTATTTAACACCTAACCATAACAGAAGCTACAGATAATACAGGAAGGCAAACACATTGAAACTTATTCATTAAATACTTTAAATAACAGAGCAAAGCCAGCATACCCCTTAAAATTATTTTTTAAGCTTATAAGTACTTTATTCCAATCCAGGTTTTGCCCCACCAGCATTAGTTACCAACAATAAAAGGCTTCTACTACAGAGTTAACATTCTGACAGTTATTTTCCAATACGTCCAAGAGGAGCAATTTAATCATAAACAGCCTGGCAGAAAGGTGACTTGGTTTTCCATATCCTGCTGTAAGAACTGCTGTTCTGAAGTTTTAAATGGAGACCCTAGAACATGAAAACCACTCACTGTGGGTGGAGGAACATAATACTGTATTCCTCTCAGCCAGGACAGAGGTTTGCAGGCAAAATTCCTCTGCGTCAGGCAATGCAGATGGGATGTTTACTCGTCCTGCCAAGCAGCAGGTTATAATTAGCCCTGCCTGGAATCTCATAAAAGTATATCTCACACAGTTTGTTTCAAATCCTGTTCATTCTATAAGCATCCACCTATCGATGATGCTTTTCAAGTTTAGTTTCTCTGAAGAGAAAGAGAAAACAAAAAGATCTGCATAAAGTTCCGTTCAGAAGAATAAAGCCCCTTCCTATCTAAAATAAATATGGCACAAACAGAAATAACAACTGTACATCAGCCAAAAAAACAAATAGTTTTTCTTACATCTGGGAAGTATCGGCTTTCTGCACATCTGGCCATGCACTAATGTATCAGACAGGAATAAAGTCAGTTAAGCCTCTGCTGCAATGAATAAAAATATTTATTTCCTCTTCAAAAAAATAAATGACTACCCTATTTTCTGACAGTGATCCAAAAGTTACTTCCCTGAAAAGTGCTTCATTTGCACCAATCTTGAAAATATAGTAAAGAAAAAGTTGAGCAATTATGTGGCCTACGATTTTTCTGACTGCTAGAAAATAGTTTTTAGACTAATTTGTGATGCATTTTAATATTTTAATTATTAAGTATTCCTTCCACCCAAAAAAGGCAATCCAATATTTTAAATGAATAAGCAAAAAAGCCAAAAAGGTCACATTTTTACTCTAAACTATCTATTTAAATGACTGTAGCCATATGAGTGTTTTTTAACAGAACATGGTAAAACAAGCCATTTATTGGAGAAGAAAAACCCTTATTTTGAAGCACAGTTTAGGGAATTCTACTTGTCCAAAAGTTTCCCAGGCACTGGGCAAATTTTGTTGACCCTTTGAGTAGCGGAAAGTAGGAAAATACAATGGGGCCCTAAACATTAGGTCAAAGCAGAGTTCTCTGGGAAGGATTTGATGTAGGAATAAGTGGGCAGAATGAATAGCTCTAAATCAGCAGAAACCATACAGAAGAACTGAGTCAGCCACAAAGCCAGAGAATTAACATGATGGCAACAGTCCTGCCAAATGCTGAGCTCCTTATCCAGAAATAAGAAGGGGAAAAAGAAAACTACACAATAGTTACAATAGGTCTAAGAACTCCTGTGAGTCCCTTCAATCAAGCAGTGAAGGTAAAAGCAAGTATTTGGCATCTTAATCACAACCTGTCCAGTGTCAAGTTGTATACCACAGTCTGGTTGTTTTCTTTCAGTTTGCAATTCTGCACATCCATAACTGATGTGACCACTTTCCCTCCAAGTGGTCCAAATGGCTTGCACACTTGGTGATTCTCTTCCTAGTTACAAACCTCACTGGCAAACCAAGATCAAAATGCAAATCGAACGGCAAATCAACAGGTCCCATATCTCCTCCTCAAGCTTAAAAGAACAAACAGAAGCTTGGAAAAAGCTTAAGTATTTTCTGTTTTGGGGAGAAAGTTGTTTATTGCAGAGAGTACCTCCCCTACATATTAAAAATATTCAAAACCCAGCTGACCACACTCCTGGACAACCTGCAGTGGTTGACACTGGTGGAGCATGGTGTGGGTCTGGAAGGTCTCCGGAGGCATTCTCCAGCCTCAGCACCTTATGGTTCTGTGACCAGTTCTAGTCACAGGAATAAACTTGTCCTACAAAACTCATACAGCTGCAGATAAAATAAATCACTCTGTCCTTCTGAGATTCCTTCTATAGATGCAAACTGAAATACGTTGCTCTGTCTCATGAAGTTTGCAAGTGGAAGCCCAAGCTAAATTAACAAAGGCTGTTAGAAGAACATTTGGGTGGTAGAACTTGCATCTTTAATCAAGACCACGAATCAATGCACTTGCATCAAGAAATTACAAGTTATGGGGCATTTGGATAGGAAGTGGGAAGAGAGGAAAAGGGTTTTGCAGAAAGAGTGGTGTTTTTTTCCTAAATCAAAGAGGATGGAAAAATTTTGGAAAAATAGCGTGTTTTAGTAAAGGTGCTGAATCCAGATGGCAACAAAGATATTGGAGATACTTATTAGATGATCTTTAAGGTCCCTTCCAACTCAAAACATTGTATGATTCTATGATTTTCACTCATTTCTTCTTAGCTGTAACTTCAGGAAGGCCTGTCTATGCTTGCAAATGCCATATGCTTTGCTTATTGCTATTTCACCTAAGTACTTGAACTCACCAAACATAAAGGCATTACTAAAATTAGTGAGTGTTTTAATAAAGTATTTTCTAAAAAGAAAATGCTACGTTTCTTCTCATGTAAATTCAGGGACTAAGGCATAATGCAACCAGCAGACAGAAGCACAGTCTCCTCTCCATCCAAGTGGAGTGTACCCCTGAAAAAGGCTGAAGGTAATTCATTAACTGTTGCCCAGCCTTACGTTTTTTATAGCCTGTGTGCTGGTGCTCCCACCTGCAAGGGCTAAACATGCTGCAATTTTCAACCTACTAGGTAACTTCTCTTCAGTTCTTGGTACTATTCTTTCTAGTAGCCCTAACCCACAAAGATATCACTCTGTGTATTAGCCATGAAGTTACTTTATGTCAGCAATGCCTGGCCCCAGCTGTGCAGTGACACCCCACACCTGGGGCTACTGCTGCCAGTGCCTTCTCTTGCTTCAATACAGCTCCTGTGGAAGCCCACCCTTTCCTTCAGCCCTGTCCTTCAGTCTCTGGGGCAGGCAAGGAGCACCCCCTGCTCCTCATCCCAAGTCTCATGTTCTAGCACAATCACCATTCCCCTAATGAGGCTCATGGAACAGGCACAGCAGGCTGAAGAGACCCTTGCTCTCCATCACTCCCTCTTCAGAAACCCGTGCCAGGACTGGACCAGGAGCTCTGAAGCAGTCTTAGGAAACCCTGTTCTCAAATCCCACCAACAACAAGAAGGCAGTGTGCATCTACTTCACTTTCAGCTACTTTTGAAATATTGCCTTCATAAGAAATGTCAGTAGTTAATTTTTTAAGCCTAAGAAACCAAATCCTTTAAGTACACGTTGCTTACAATTTACAGCTCCTAAGTTTAAGCTGCTTGAGAGACAGGACGTGAGGCTTTCATAAAGCTGACAAGCCTTGCAGCTACTACTCACATAGCCTAAATTTCCATTACTAGGTGCATTCGTACCACAAAGCTCACATTTACTCTTGTTATGAAAGTGCTCATCCCCAATTATCATAGCAATTAGTCCTTATAGCATCAAAGTGTATTAACTTTATTCATATATATTAGTTCACATTATACACTGGGATGTAATCAGTTAGTGGAATTTTACTGGAGACTTTGGGATTGTGCATGTCAAAGCAAAAGAAACCAAGGGACAGCTCAATAAAAAGGGTTTTATTTCTTGGAAGCTTAGAGCTGTCCATGAAGGATAAAAGATATCCTTGGACAGCCAAGGTAACACCTGCAACCTAGCCCCTCTAACAAGTCTCTGAAACCCTCCCAGCATTGGCTGACATCAAAGGTAATTAACTATAGCAAGACTGACTCTGCAGAGACAAGCAGCAAGAATACTGCAGAAATATAGTTACTTTGCAAAGTTTTACTATGATTAGTAATGAGCAGCGTGGGTGTTAGTCATTAGCCAAAGTATGTTTGAAGAGTATAAGAACCCTGTCTAAAACCACATTCAACGTGCCCCAGTTTGGCTGGAACACTTCAAGCACATTAATATTTACCCTTGCAATTCTGTGTTTTGGTCCTAGCCTCTCAGTAGCAGCCATCTAGCCTTAGCAGTTCTTGGCAAGAACCCTTCTGCAGCTGACTGATACCCGTAACACCGTTTGCTCAGCAGCATGTCCTTCAGAACAGTGGGTATATCACGAGCAGTCAAAACTCCACTCAGAAAATTATGGAGCAATATACACACTAATGGCACCAAGATGGACACAAGACAACATGGTGGGGCTGGGAAGGGGCATGCAGTTGAGGCCCCTCAAACACTCTGTCTTCTCACATTCATGAACAGATTCCTGAACGTTAAGACGCACTGGGATAACAACCCAAATCACAGTCAGCAGCAAAAGTTCAAGCTAAATACACTGAAAAGACTACAACATTGGTGAATCAAAAGATTAGTCTCTAATTTAAGAAATCTGCTTTACCCAAGCAGGTTTCAAGTTCTTTATTGTTGTACAACTTCATAAATTCCTTGGTTCTCTTGAAAGTAACTACAACCGGCACCAAGAAACCTAATGCTATTTTATCCCCAGAAGTTTATATATACTCC